TCTCTCTCTCTCTCTCTCTCTCTCTCTCTCTCTCTCTCTCTCTCTCTCTCTGGGGTTTCGACTCCCTTGTCCACTCCTTCGTTCTCCAAAATATTTTTCTGATGTCTCTCATCGCAGCTTGCTTGTCCTGATCCTGCTCTGATCTCGCCTTATTTGATGTGGGGTTGAGACTTCCCACTTTCGTTACTGCTCCTACTCTTTTCTATTCTCTCTCCTTCCTATCTCATATCTCATACGTATGCATTCGCACGTATGTGTACGGCCGTGTCGCACGGTACTGACACAATTGCATCTGCGCCAACCAACTCTCTGATGTCTATTGGTCCTCCTCTTGTTTAATAGCCCGTTACCCATAGATCATTCTCCCGTTCGACGCGCCAGGAGTTGTCACTGCTTTTGTCACGAGAAGGTTCTTCAGCAACCCGAATACACTGGCCAATGATTACGTCGAGGCCAAAAATGACGTCCGTCTCAAAGAACCACTTCTAGAGGATCAAACGACGGCAAGGGTTTAGATTGAACCCTTAGGAAAGCCTGATGTGTACACTGCTATGTTTGGTAGCCCTGCAGAATGGCTGTTAGTCCCGTTTCCTGCAGGACCTACGAAATCGACATCCACCACAAGCACAAGCCCACGTGACAAGTCCATGGCGCACCACTTTTCAACATTGACCCACAGGTGGAGCCTGTCGAGCAGCACCGACGGCGATCGTGCCGCAAGGCATGTATCATCGATTCATGTGGGTGTCATTGAGGTAATCGGGCTGGGCAAAGGCCGGTGACCCCTTCGGCAATAGCGACTGCGGGCGAGTTTGATATTAGTACAGATTTCTCTACTACAGATGTACATGCATGCACGTATCTGCTGCAGATCAACAGTTTGGGACGGCGTAAACGTCGCGAAAATGGCCGAAATTGTCGGCGAAGATCTCAACATGTCGAGTAATATGATGTACTACCCAACTCACCCGCAGTCGCTCGTGGTGAACGGCGCACCTGTCTTTGCGCGGCCCGCGTAGCAACAAGGGCCTTCGATGTTCTTTGCCTTTTGGCTTGATGGCATCTCGCATGTCTCCACCTGTGATTCAATGTTGAAACTTGGCGCGAAGCGTCACGTGGGCTTGTGCCTGTGAATATCGATTTCGTAGGTTCTGCAGGAAACGGGGCTAGTCTACGCTCTGCAGAGGTCTAGCAACCACACCAAGCAGTGTACCCACCAGGCTTTCCCTAAGGTTTCAATCGAAACCGTTGCCTTCGTTGGATCCTCTGTAGGTGCGAGGGCCTTGATATTGTCCACAACGTGCCTCGCGATGACTACGTTGTCTGGCCTGATCAAGATGAAACGCCAACCCTCGGAGCATGCACGCACAACCGCGAGGGTATGCTACTCCGCCGCCCACTCAAGTTGGATGGAGCAAACACCAAAACACACCGTCTCCGTGCCCACTTCCATCCATCGTCGAGCACAAATGCCCCGGTGACGACGATGGTGGCACTTGCGCAAGTGTCGCGATCATCATGCGCAAGTACCGCCGTCAATAGCGGGGCAGTTGTTTTCGACGGTGCATGGACGTGGGCGAAGAGACGGTGAGGTTTGGTGTTTCCTTCATCCAACTTGAGCGGGCGGGGGGGTAAAGGGTACACT